ATAGCTTGCATAGATGTGACAGGCACAATACATCGCTGTCACGAGCACGGCAGCACGCATCAAAACAATGAATGAGGGGAGGTAAGGGCAATGCCCACATCATCTCTCATCAACATACAAAGGCCTCCAAGATTCGCACGCACTATCTCAGAGGATACTACATGCCACTGATGGCCGATCCCACGGTTGCCAACACTGACAAACTTGGCAGTGCAGTGCGAATATCCGCGCTTGAGCTCCCGCGGCCATTCATACTAGCCGTGTCTAAAACGGCAGTGCAGGCGGCCCCTATTTGAAACTACACCATAGCGTACGATTGTATTAAACATCGCGGGGTGAGAAGCGATTCGCAAAAGCCATCCTCTATTACATTTCAGGCTATGGGTTTTCGCCAGGATACAAAAAACACCAGGCCCGCGCAAGAAGCACAGCACAGTCACCGCATACGCTGGAAGAGCAGCATTTCTAGAAATTGTTGCGGACACCCTAGCGACCACTAATACAGGTACGCTAGCAAAGAGCCCACTACACCATAGATCACAATTTTCGCCAATTCGGGAAACGCCCACTATGCCGTTATCAATGATTTTGCAGAGAAGCAAGGTATCCACTATACATCTGCAAGACATTACATGCACTTTCTTCATGCAGTGGCTGATGACAATAAAGAATTCTGGGTGAGCCCTTTCAACAGTGAAACCCTGACTATACAACTTTCAGGGGACCACGCAAAACAGTCGTGTAATCAGGGTATCACATAACCAAAAAACTGAGAATACAGCCAGTGACACCAGCCTTGCCCAAAAACAAATGGGTACACACAACCGAAATAAGCCCACGGCACGACCTTGTGCCTCTGCTAGGAAGGTAACTTAAATTATCCTTGCCAGTGGAAGCTAATGGCAGCGTTACTTCGTTGAAAGAGGTGCAAGCTAATCTTTATTTTCTATTTTAAAAAGAATGGAATCCAATACACATCTTTCTACCGATAAATAGAGTCCGAGAATTGCCAATGCGTGAAACTGGAACTAAAACCGCGTTGCCAATAGCCTCCCATAGGAAAAGTCAGACACAGTGTCATCGCTATCACAATATGGCGACAAACCACGCGTGTGCACAAAGCGCGATTGAGCTATGCGTGTTGTAATTTCTAACCTTGTCAAGTGCAACTGTTAATGTCCCGTTGTTAGCATGAACGTCAACGACAAATGAAAGTAATCTTGCATGCTGAAAACAGCTGCGCCACGCCCTTATGTGTCCGCAAGCCTGTGAATGCGAGTGCGACAAAGGCAGGAGATCAGCTGTATGTCGACCAGAAAATGTTTCCACGGACTAAAAATGTAAAAATATCAGCTTTTCGGCCGGCATGCGCAAGGTGCTTTGTGTGGATAGAGTTTGAATAGGTAATGACCCCGGTACATACACACACAATCGCGATGTGTGTGAAAGTGCATGAACTTCCAGGAGAATAAATTTTCCATTCTAAGAAGACATCTGTCTCACTCCCTACTTTTCTAACCGTCAACCTAGGGGAACGCAAGTTCATCTTTTTGCACTCGTGAATATTTGGTTGACGTTTGATTCGGGTAAAAGTGATTTTTTTTCTTTTGGACGAAATCTGAATGTCGTCATGAGATGCGAGATCAGCGTAAAATTGTGTCATATAACCTAGGTATTTAATACATTATTTCTTTGAAGATTTTGCCGGGACCAAACCAATTCAACATAAAATGCTGGTCATCACGAAACCGGGGGACTTCGAATAGAAGTTCCACAGTAATGGGTTGGAAGCATTTAATAAGACACTCGTTATGCAATTTGTATTGTGTGACAATTGGCTGTTATTTTACTCTTCTACTACACTATAATACACAGTTAACGCAGTTGCTCCCCGACATAGCATCTATATAGGGTCTTTTTGCAATTGAGTTTGGAGCAGAGGCATTGCTCTGAGTAAAACGCTGGTCTGTCAAGAAACTGGAGTCAAACCCCATTCCGTCTTAAACATCTTTTCTTGGTTTTTTTTTTCCTATTTCACACGAAAGCGGCTACATACACTGGCGGCGGCAGACAACTACAGCCTCAAAAACGGTCTTTGTTGTGATGTCATAATAGCCTTTACTGTAAAAGAAGAATTTTATCCCCCTGGAATTCGTACAAGTCGTATTTATATTTATATCATCTAGGTTCTACTGTACAAATATTCATTCATTTCGAATACTTCCAAATTTCCAGTAACTTAAATTTGAATCGAAGCGAATTGGAATACTGTGCTATTCATTTGTATATTTGCACACGCCTACTCTTCAGTTGTTGTTTTTTTTTCAACCCGCTTATAACAATTATCGGTAGTAACAATGAGATTTCCTTGGCACTTGAATGTCGATAGTGGACTGAATAGTAACACTCAATGTGCAGAATGAGGCTAGGAGGACAAGCCATACAAGTGCAGCGTTTATGATTAAGTACCTTGACTTGGTTTGTTCTGAGCCTTAGTCGAAGTCTGTTGCTAATAGGCCGATTAAAGCACAGCTCCTACATTCAGGAGGTACTTGCAAAGAAATAATTTCTTTTATTACTTTGCTATTACATTGATTAATTACTTTTAATCCAAGTAAATGTCGCTATTTCTGTTTGACTCCATGGACATTGTGGATCCAATGTGGAAACACAAGATGCAAATTATTCACAGACGATACTTTAGGCAAAGCCTGAGTACAACTTTATTCCTCGTTGTACAGTTAAACCTGAATATAACGAAATTGAAAAAATCTCAGAAAAATTTGTTATAAAGAGGATATCATTATATGCAGGTTGGGTACCAAAATCCAGAAAATAAACACGCAAATAAACAAAAGGGGTACGGAAGGCAGAGCTAACCCAGAACACTTACTTTACAGTAAAAAATTGCATTATTATTGCAATAGCACTTATATGGACACTCTCGGCGGGTTTTTGCTGTCGGTGACATGTTCCTTAACAAGTCCAAATTGATAACATGCCCCCGCGCATTACAACTTTCACAAGCGGGTAAAAGCGCATCAGCACTGCTGAAGCACAGAACAAATGAGTCGGCCCATCCCTATCGCCTGGAAAGTGCATAAGATAACATCTCTTGTGTGTTAAAACTGCTGTAGAATTCTCTAAGTAAACTACCCGTCTTGAACAAGCCTGAAACAATGCGGGGAGGGAGGGGAGGGGGGATCGCTCAAGTAGCAATAATGAGCTTGGATTTTGAGGGTGGTCGCCATTGCTGGCGTGCTTGCTATCTCGGCGAGTATCAGTGCGGTTTCAACGCGTAGGGAGGGTGTGAAAAGAGCACTTCACCCTGGAGCAGCCATATTTGCTCACACCAGCGTCTTGTAGGAGTTCCGCGATATCACATCCAAAAGAGTTGGCTGCCAGCCTTACTTCTTAAGATATTACAATTTTTTGCAATAGCGTTCATTGTATTGCATTCAACGCGCTGTCGCGTTGCCAGAACTAATGGACTAATTGCGAAAGCTACTAGCCTGCGAATTTGCGGCGTGGCAAAAGACGGAAGTGCGTGACGAGTCGACCTCTGAAGATGCGTCGTCACCGTGGTCTCAACTAGTTTCCATCAGCGCCTAATCTGACAAACCCTCGGTGGTGACGACGCGGTTGTCCGAAATTAAGAAAATTCACAGTTTCACCGCAAGGGCGAAGCAATGGATAGCAACAGCTTGGAATGTAACGCTGAGAACTGCAATCAGATCGAAGCGTGCAGAGTGCTGCTCAAGCACAAATGACGCAGGAAATCAACATACACAGGACGAGAGAGAACTAACATTTACCACTCGACACTTAACACGCTGTTTAAACAAAACAAAAATAATCCACGAAACGTACTCACAAGTACAGATATGAGTGCGAACTAACAAATGCCCCAGTTGTTACTTCGCTGTGTTTGAAAAACGCACTCTTTTCGCAAACGGCGCCTGTCTAGCGAGCGAAGTGAGCTTTGTGCGCCTTCCAACTAAACGCAATCATACCTGTCAAGGTCGAAGGCGCGCAATTCTTCCCACTGAATGATCAGTGCACAAGCATCACCCCCCCCCCCCCCCTTCCCCATTCGCTGAGCAAAGTACGCGTGGGTGATAAGCGCGTGTCGGCGCATCGTGACAAGCTAGGCGCCAAGCGCGGGCGGCTTTTTTTTTTTTTTCTTTTCTTCAGTTTTCATATAGATACTTACACATATACAGTTAATGACGGCTGCGGCGCTGGCAAAAAGCCAGCCGAGACTGTCCATATAATTGCTATATCGCAATAAAAGAAAGCAAAGCTGAATGCGTTGGGGGCCCCACGATGCATGTGCAGCGAAACTATGCATGCATGCGCGGCTTCGAAAATGAAAAAGCAAATGACACGGATACCGCACAAAACTATTCGATAAAACGCCCTCCATACCAGCACGGCCCCACATATGTGACTGCGTGTCACATATGTGGGGCGTGTGACTGCCAACACGCAAAAATAGTTTTTTTTTTTTTTAATTTTGGTTCAAAGTGCACCCGCGGCGGTGAGAGTGGCGGCAACACAGGCTCGTAGGGTGCAGGCCCGCCTGCCGGCAACACACTCACCTGCGCGCAATAACGAGCACTCGCTCTCGCCTGGTGCACTGGGCGCGCAGTTCGTTGGCAGCGGGGCAGCCACGGAAGATCCATGCTCGTACCAAAATGCCAAAATGCGCAGCAATATTCCTCGATTGTGCGTGGGAAAAATTCACTATGTCAATGTTGTCTCCCACGGTTACATTGTTACATAGAGGTCGTAAATAAATGTGCTTCTATGGAGCAACGACGGGGAATAGAAAAACTTCGCTATATCAAGGAATTTGTTATATAGAGGTTCGTTATAAGCTGGTTTAACTGTAGTACAACAAATGTAAGTTTAATGCTAGCACCATTCATGATGAGCACAAACATTCTACGAATACAGCTGTGCGCTCAGAGAGTGCACCACAACCACTGCCCACTCACCTTAGACAGGACATGCCCCTGGTCCACAGCCTTGGCTGTACTGTACAAGTATGCGCGGCAGGCATTCAGTGTTGTGTACATGTCAGCTATCTTGCCTTGCATGAGCTGGAATATGAATTAGGATGAGATTAGTAACACTTAAGAAACTGCTTTAAAATGCCACAGTTATCTGTGAGCACAAAGAAGTTGAGTCATCTAGATAATTCTCATCTCATGGGGTCTTTAAAAGGATATGATAAGGTAAATAAGTCATCCAGGTTTCAGCTTTATATCTCAGGAACTGAATCATAAATTGTTGTGAAGTTTTGCACACTTAATAAAAGAGCAAGTGGCCTTTAATCAAATGAACCGTGAGCTGCTAGATTTTCTTAGTTGCTTTTGGTAAAGCAACAAACTTCGGATAGGCGCAAAAAATTAGATGGATCTTTTCTCAAACTAAAAACAGTATGCCCGACCGCGATATATGACACGCTTATTAAATGTAATATTGGTATGAATTTCCACCTACAAAAAAACGAGCTCATGTACTTACCTCAAAAGAATAAAAATATTGTCCTCACTTGTCCCAGGCCATGGGGAAAACTTTCAAATTAATTTTTTTCTTAATCATAACTAATCTTGTTCTTCAAACATTTAAGTTCAGACTATTAGGAAGAGATTTAGGTATAACCTGAGAAAATTTAGTACTATAGGTCAGACAGTGTTCCAGCACATCAAGTTCGAAAAAAAAAAATTTTTTTAACTGATCTTAAGAAAAATTTGATGTTTAAGAACGTGCAAAACACCCTCACAATGTACCGCTATAATTACGCTTAAAGTGCATTTTGACAGGAAAATTTGCTATGAAAGTGTATTAATATAGTAAGAAGTGAATATATTCACCTGATCTAGCTACAGTTACTAAAAAAATGCATACATGCAGAAACAATGATGGAAAAGAGCCCACATATTCATTAGGATGCGTGGTCTGTGGCAACATTTCTGAAGAAAATGCAGCACTCCAATGTGCTCGCCAATGCATGGTTTTGCTCGTCATGAGGTGTCTCATTTTTTTAGTTATGAGATAAAAACAAATCGCCTTTTTGATCGGTCTACCTTGCCACACAACTAATGAAACTAACAAAACAATAAAGCAAGAAAAAGAATAGTGGGTCTTATTTACTTTTTTCAACCTATGGTGTAATTATTTTGATCTAGATTGAAAGAAATTAAAGCAGGAGAAAAATAATTCTTTCTGTTGGGGGGGATAACGAAGAAACAAAAACTGCAAAATGGATGGATGGCTTGCGATTATTAAATGCAGTTGAAAACTGATCACCATGTAACACACCTAACATGACCAGTAAAGGTTAAGTAAAGGTTAAGTAAAGGTTGTGAACGTTTACAATTTTACACTACACAACAGATTAAAATGACTACCAAAACCGTCAAACTGTTCTGAGTTTAACCGTATGCAGTCCATCTTGTATGGAATTCCATGAAATGTCACAGTTTTCGTTATTTCATATTTATTCTTTCTGGCATAGCAAACAAAAAAATGGGACATGCAATTAAATTTTCATCCTTCCTTAATCTTTTGCCACAAACCACATAAAATCAAATTATTTGTAACAAAACTACAGTCTTATAAAATAAATCAATTATAATTATAAATACATCAAAACAACCACACGACAATGCTACTAGTACAACGACTGGGTCATTTTGTTATGAACCAATATGGCAGCATGAATTTAAAACCCACCTGGAATGTCCCGATTGGCTGGCCGAATTGCTTACGAGTATGTACATAGTCGAAGGCAACATCACAACACGCCTGCATTATGCTGGTTCAAAAGAGAAAGGCAGAAAGAAACAAACACTTGAATAACCCCTCACAGTGGACCACATTTTCAATACCAAAAATTTTATAGGACACCGTTAACAGTGCATGCACACAGCCAATCAGAAGCAAACGATTCGATTGTGATTAAATCAACTCGTGGGTCCAGCATGATTCTTGTCAACGTTTGTTTCACACAACAAAGCAGTGAAATGCATTGACAAAGGCTGGGCAGCAGAACAGCTCGAATAGTAACAGCGCTCGAGTGTCTGCGTCGTCACTCTTGTGAATGTGTGTCCGAGCTGTTACTCTCTCACCTCACTTTACTATGAACCAACTCTTCCAAAAAGAAGTTTTGATGAAGTTTCACACACCTATGCTGATGATTACTCTGTGAGATCAACAGGCTGGGGTGCAACAGGCAAAAAATTATTTGGAGCAATTTTCGGAGCAGCAAAATGTTACTTTTAGAGTACGAAAATTCAAATTTAGAGCAACTTACAGAGAAAAAAAAAATACCCTCCTTTATCACAAGATCCCAAACATGAAGCAGTATAACAAAGATGGTTTACATTTACAAAACAAAACAAAAATATTTACAAAACCAGTCAACGTCACCAAATCGAGCACAGTGAACATGAGCGCAATTATTTCAGTAAAAGTACTAGTATTTTGAACCACACCCCTGTGCGCCCGGCATGATGAAGTCACCTTCAGCGCCTGTCGAACCTTTTAATCGATTCTGCAAATTCAAATATGGTTTGAGGTCACCAGCTTGGCGACCTAAAAAATCGCGAGATTCGTCACACAGTAACAAGTGAGAGTGACGGAAAAAAAAGAAAATTGGGGTACGATTGATTCTTGCTTCTTAGGGCTGCAAAAATGTCATACACTGTTCCAAATGATTGCCAGTAATTTTTTTGATGACGGCAACTATACTAGTATTCACAATCATGCAGCATAGTGTTGCGAAGCGCGCCTCCGACGACGTTACGAAGGGCGCCCCGAATCTCGCCGCTGACTCTACTGTTACGAAAGACGGCGACGCCAACACGGTCCCGAAGGCGTCACCGCTTCGAACTCCGCCGGAAAGGTCACCAGCCGTTTGGTAGCGTAGGTTTTTCAGCTCGCGACTGCTTCTGCGCAGAGCTGATAGACGAGCGGACGAGACGACGGTGAATTAAACAAGGTTTATGTACAGCATATATACAGAGGCATTACAAATTAGGCACTGGGGCCGACAGCTTAGAGACTTGAAGAGCCAAGCTCTCCTCTCTAACCCATAGGTCTGCTGCTAACACATAGCTCAACTCTCAAACAGGTCTGCTGCTCGCGACGCGCCGTAGGGCTTCTTTTATATGCGCCGGGTGGATTCTTTGAGTAACCAAATGTCCAACCAGAAGCGCCGCTGATCGTGAGGTCAGAATCCTCCAATGGGATCGCCGCTGGGCGGCGTCATTCTCATCGAATCTGGAGCCGCTGCGCTGCAGGTGGCTGCACCCAAGGACGAGTGACGTCGCCACGCATTGCGTCAGACTCGCCAGACAGGAAGGCGCCGGCTGCTTGCTCGACAGGCTCGCTGGCTGAGGTGACTCACTGTGCGTGCGCGGCAGAGAGGCACCGCCGCGTGTTGACGCCGTTGAGTTGTTCGCGTGAGGCGGGCTCGCGGGCTGGCCTTGACACATATTGCCTTTTTCAGAGGCATAGACGTTCGCTGTGGACTCGCAGGCATAACAATAGACACGCATTCAAGAGTGGAACTGGACTTCAGTGTTTCGGAGCAGCTCAGACAGCAGGAATCATGCGGCTTTGGAGCAGCTTTGGTGCATTAAAAGGGGAGTTTTGGAGCAGGTTCTGAGCACCCAGAAAGTGTTTTGGAGCAACGCGAGTTAGGTTTGGAGCAGCTTTCTTGAGCCAAACATCACCGCCAATAAAAAGTATTTCTGGGCAAAAATAATTCCAATGATTTTCACCAAACATCAGTACTAATGAGCTTCCCGGACTTACCACCCACAAAGGTGTGTGAGTGTGGTACAACAAAACATGGTCATTTAATACTCAGGCTGAAACAAAATAAAAAATATACTCTGGGTTGTAACGACATGGAACTATATTTTTTTTACGCAAACACATCTACTGCAAGGAGTTTCTCTAGCCTCTACAGCTATGCACCTGATGTGTGAAATGGAGTATAGATAACCGTGGCGCATTTCACTTGGTGAAAGCTTGTTCTCCCGACGCTAATTAAATGCACTACACTGCTTATCTGTGTTCGCTCTGGAGCGAAATGGGGACGAGTACAGCAAGCCCCCCGGCAGCGACAACGTGAACAGCATAGGCGCTGTGCTGCACGCAACTAACCAGGAGATGATTGGAGTCCATGCGATCGCTCCGTGTTACAATAAAACTGCCAGTTGTCACAATATAGAAGCACACATACGTATCGCGGAAAGCCAATAGCATTCTGTGCATTCTGTCACTATTTCAGCCGCTGCGTATCCCGGGCCCTGTAATACTTTGAAATGCTCCTTGGGGTCGCCACTGCACGCTATCAAACAATCATGTGAGAGTGTGAGCCCAGTATGATCTTTTCTGCACTCTGGCAAAAAGGAAGGGAAGGCTTTCTGGTAGGTGCTTTGGGCATTATCTGCTGTGGTACTGCATTTTTTTAATGATTGGCACGGCACGCACCAAGAGATGAACATTTGTGCTTGTAAACATACACTGCCGTGAAGTGCATGATCATGCCCCGTTCTCGGATGGTACAAATTATTGAGGTTTCACTGTAGTACTAGATACAGTAGAGCCAACATATAACGACCCCACTTAAAACGAACTTTCGCTTAAAAGAAACAATATCTGGGTGACCGTAAAAATATACATTGTTTCAATGGCCCAAAATCGCACTTACAACGAACGTCTCCAAGCGCCGATGATCGGTTATAGCAAACGGAGTCAGCGGTCTGCCGACTTCCCGGGAAACCAATTTCGACCACCAATCAAGCATTGGCGAGGTCCTCATACATTCTTATTGTTAAACACTAACCCTGCCTTTGCGACCCTCTAGTTGCCGCTCTCCTCAACCCCTATAAGAAGGAAAGTTGTTTCCTTCCTCCACGCCCCGACTGCTTTTTGTTACGCACCCCTCCATCCTTTGTGCCCCCCGCTACTCTGAGAACCCCGCATCGCCAGACGAGGCTCGTGTTTTCACAGTGCCACCGATCTTTCGAAAACCGGTCCGCCATCTACCCTGTTTTTGATCCCTGGTACAGTCGTTGGCGTCGCCGGCCTGGAGTGACCAGACCATTTGCCAATATCGTCAGCCACCGACTGTATCCGATAGTCTGCGTCTAGTGCACGCGCATACGCTGCTACCCCACCGACTCTGATAATTTGCGATTCGTTTTGTGTTTAGGACTTGTTCTCGCTCACTTCGCACTCAGCTCAGCATGCCTTCCGCACGCGTGCGGAAGCGCGAACACGGTTGTTAATTTGCGCGAAACAAATCGCGAAATATCGAAGTTCGTGAGGCCACGCAAACACGCCGGTGCAACAAAACAATTCTTTGACCACGACCGCCGACTCTTCGAACACTGCCGCGCGCACCGATCCAGGCAGCCATGCTTTGACTTCTACACACGCAGGAACTTTTTCCAAGTTTTTTTTACGTGCGAGTTTCGCGGACCTTTCAAGCAAGCTACCCAACCTGCTTCCTTCCCGTGTGTTTTCCTTTCCAAGGTCCCCCTCCCGCTACATCATCCCCTCTCTTTATCGCAACTCCTTGCCTTTCTCTCGCAAGTCTGCTCTCCTCTCCTGATCACAACCCATTCGCCCGTCTCCACCGCTTCACGACACCCGCCACGCTGGCTTGAATTAGTTGCGTTTTCCGACTGGAAACGGGCCCAGAGCTGTTCCACGCGTTCTGGCATGTGTGTCGCGTGTGCGCATCTTGCTTGCTCTTCGTGTGCGTGTGTGGTCATGATATCCGATGGGAGGACCGGCACGCTTTTTCCTGCCGCTCAAAAAAAACGTCGAAATGTGACCGCTTGGCTTGAGCGTAATCCTCGCGTTAGATGTCGTGTTGCGGAGCACTTGCTCATAGCTGTTGACCACCTGGCAGCCAACTTGCCGCTTCGGGCATACCGGTATTCAGCTGTGGAGATGGCGAATATTTCGTAGGCGGTGGTGACAGCTACATGCGTGCGAAAGTGTTTTCGTGAGGCCGACTTCGTCAACGTCGAGGCCGATGCCGAGCTTGAAGCTTCCGAACTGCAGCGGCGATTTGTGGCCGCGCATCGTCAACTCCAACCTGGGAGAGCGGGTGGGACATCTGTTGCGATAGTTTAATTATGGCCGATGATGATGCCGAGACTGCAGAACCGTGCACAAATTGGGGCATTGTGAATGAAGTACGTGGCGAGAGCGATTTGGAGGAATCGGATTGCGAGAACGACGAAACTTGGGAGCCAGTGCCTCATGCAGCTTATGCCATGGACCTTGGTGAACGAGCACCCTGCCGTTTTAAATGAAGTCCAGACCGCCCTTATCGCTTCTGCTCTTCGGAACACGTGAATCACGGACTGTTTGGGTCGAAAAAATTTTGTGTTTATACTCGCAACTTTTTTTAAAAGCTGTGTTTCATTTACTACGAACTTCAGGATACAGCAAACGGATTCCAGGTCACGCTCAGGTTCGTTATAAGCGGGCTCGACTGTAATTCACAGTTGCTCATACTGGCACCACCACTTTTGCGGGGAAACCACGGCGATAACAGCGATGAGACGAGCACTAGCAAGCCCCATAAATGAACAAAATTACAAAATGATCGAACTACACTGGATATGACTGTGGCCACGTCCTTTGTGTAGCCAATGCTGACTGTTCCTCAGTCAACGATAATATGGAGGCTTACACTTTCGATCGACAATTAAAGTAAAAATCGCTATTTATGTGCAGCATGGCGCAGCAGGTTAGATTGGCGCAGAATGGCGCAATTGATACAGCACTGCCAACCCTGCGCATTAGTAGTTCATGAAGAAAATGTGCTATGTACCATGAGTAGTACTAACAGCCCCTTCTAAAACTTAATGGAGCCTTGCAACACTTTTTCAGCGTGGTCAGAAAACATTGCTGATCTGTAGTCGAGACTACCGAGAACATGCAAGCCAAAAATTATTGTGCCGCACAGAGTATCCTCCCCTAAAGCCATGCCTAAAGCATATGCATCTTACACCGTGGCTTACGGTTAGGGTCTGCATTCATAGATTTGAATTGCAGGTCACCAATGCTTGCTCAATTTCTCGCTGAAATCAGCACAACTGAGAATTTTGCGGCTAGTTGGGCATTTGGTCCAGTTTAGCACAACTTCAGCAAATTTCCTGGTTTGGACTCGGCTTGGCGCAAAAATAGAGAACTGTATAAAATTGGTGCGAATACTGCAACTGTTGCAACCCTGAACAGGGCAAGGCAACAACCATCCTATACTTTTTGTTTTCAGCGCATCACCTTTTGATACCTTTATTTATTCTCTGAATTAATCTAACAATAACTAGTCAAAAGTAAGAAAAGCACCTCACAAGTGAATAACCTGTGCCCATTATTGAAAACATATCTTGCGCTACGAAAGAGAGTAAGGCATGACAACACAGACACAAGAGCCGAGAACAAGACAACACAATTGCCAGACTAAGTGCCAGACTAAAAATTGGCACTTTTCCTCTAACTTCCAAAAACACCCGTAGTCGGAACATGAATGTAGGCAAATATGAAAAAAAAAATGCTTCATGAAAACGGAAAACGCCAAATTACTGGCCATTACTTCTGCCTGAAACAAGAGACCTTTTCTGTCCTTTGTACGTCAAAGTCGAGGAAATCTAACTCCCTTATTGAAGTAGGCCACCTATATCCCACTTTGAACACCAAATCTCTGAATAACAGCTGTGCATCACTATGTCAAAATGTGTCTCACCCGACTGGTCCAGCAGCCAGAACCAAGCGCTCCAAATCCAGGCCACTCATGAGGACATACATGCCCTTGTTGAGTTCCCCAACCAGGTTCTTAGCTGAGCAGACAAAGGGGAGAAAAAAAAAGGAGACATCAGATAAACGATAACAAGCACTGAATTAATCTTGTAGAAGTGCCTAAAAGACAATGCATATAAGCATGAACTGCGGGACAAAGCCTCAAATGAAATTCCCACTAGTACTGAATAAAATGTTTCAATAAATTTCAATTCAAAAGCCCTCCCACAATCATTAGGTCTTCCAATGTCAGTGGCTACATTTAAGAAAACCACTAACAATTTTATTTCGCACTGGGTCGCAGGAAACTCGTTTTGTGGAGCAGCTGCTTTTAATAAGTACTACGGATATTATGTCTGGCAATTGCGATGCCTTACATGCAGAACGGCTCGATCACGAAGTAAGACAATTGCCCATTACATTATGCTAAAAGCCTTTCTTTCTTTCTCTAACCGTTTTGCCGGTTGATTCATCAACTCCAAATTACTGCCAATGGTCACCACAGCGCCGAGATGAGCCTGGTATACATAAAAAAGAATACTTTTGTTCGCACATTCAAGAATACTATATGGACCTAGATTCTTCATGAAGAAACCCAGGTGGAGGACTGAAGTAGAAAGGAATACTTTATCAAAAAATCAAACTAATTCATCTTGGGTCTTCACAAACATACCAAGATCATTAAATAAGCAAGTCATATTGCGGGACTACAGGTGAGTTATGACCCCCCAGGATTCTTCAATGTGCATTTACATCTAACTATCCAATACTAAAGCAAAATTCCATTTGCCATTTCTGCTTTGCAGAAGTACACACCAAAAGTGGTCACAAATGAAACATAGCTCTGCAACATGAGAGACTGACAGAGAAATATTTTCATACCAGGAATCTTGCAGTCTTCAAAGACAAGCTCAGCTGTTGGTGAGCCCCGCATTCCCAACTTGTCCAGTTGCTGCCCTATACTGAAACCTGGAGTATTCTAGGGAGAGATACAAGGAGACACGTTACTTGCTGTATAGTGCTTCATTTCGTTAAGGGGAATATTTATTCAATTACATTCCATAAGTGTGACATTAACGAGATTACCCAGCCCTATAGAGCTAGCAAAAATGAACACTACTTCACTGCACAAAATTTACATATGCTGTCTATTTTAATACTAGAGCAAAATTGTGAGAAACCTAATAAAAATACATTCGTTTCAGGCCAATAGGTTTCCCATGTGATACAATAAAAGCTCGTAATTCCCATTTCAGGGAAATGAGAAAATGCCTTAATTAGCCAAATGCCAAACTATCAAAAGTATTAAAAAAATACAAATCTGTATTACATGAATGCATTATCATTTTCTAAAAGAACACATAAATCCAATCCTCATTTCGTGCAAGAGCAGTGTAAAAGCTGCAATTTTCATTGTCACGATTCAAGACTTTGTTCACAATGTGATCATGGATCAAGACTCACGTGTCTTAAAGGGGCCCTGAAACACTTTTTTAAGTAACCATGCAATTAATTCACTGGAAAAGCGTATTGCCTCACTAATTCAACACCACAAAAATTTCAATAATCCGCCCAGTACGAGCGGAACTATAAAGATTTGTCGCACGCTGCAATCGCATTCTCTCTTCTGTCGTCCCGACAAAAGCGCTGGAAGCTTAGCAGAGGGATCAAACAAAAAACGTCGCGCGTGCCTCATGACCTTGAGCACTTTTGTTTCTTTGAATATGTGGCTTTTTCAGTGCAATTGCGTGTGCACACATGGACAAGTGATGGCCTCTCGCAGCGATTTCTGTAACAGCCGAGCGCGCCATGTTCAAATCAGCCAATGGCTGATAGATGGGAAATCTACGTGTGATTTTTTAGTGTCTTCCGTCATTTGTCGAGAGAAGAGAAAGCAATTTTTAGCAGAGTTTTCAGCCGACAGAAGGTTTTCTTTTCCCTAACAACTACTATGAAACTGTCCCGCTTTGTATGTACCCTCAGGCATCTGTCGTTCATGAGGAAAGGGGTAAAAACATAATGAGCGAGAGAAGTAGTGTGTGAACGAGAGCTTTTGGTTGCAAAACAACTTTACAGAAAAGCCACCTTGCAGTCTTTTTGCAAAATGTCCATTCTCAAAGTTAACCAGACATTGTTTCCTCTTCAGTCAAGCGACAGATGATGCCATCTCAAAGGAATGTGCCATAAACACAAAATCCACAGCTATTAGCAGATTTGGGCACAGTGAACTGCATAGTTACCCTGGCACCCATGAAATGCTGCCACGTGCCCATGCGCACGCTTGTGATCACATCAAAAGTAAGCCGCACGTATGAGGAAAAAATGAAAAGTGCTCAAGCCTCGAGCTCATGACCAGTGCTGACAAAAGACACATCTTCTTGCCCCCTTATCATCCCCTTCCGAGTAGTTTACAGTGAGCTCACTAGTATGAAAGGAAAGCATGCGATGGATCCCTCTAACTCCACTTGACAGATTATAAGAATTTTTCTCACAGTTGATTTGTGAGGCAATCAGCTGTCTTAAAAAAGCCATTTGATGGTTACTCGGAAAAGGCTGGAGGGGATCCCGGCAACACTTTTTCAGCATGATCAGAAAATACTGCCGATCAATAGTCAAGGCTCCCGAGAACATGCGAGCCAAATATTTTAGTGCAGCACGCAACCTGTAATTTACAATTGTAAATTAAACTTAGCTAAAAATTACTATCTCTTCTCTTGAGAAATGATGTTATGTATACTCAAAAATCATTGCATCACAGGCCCAAGTATCACGCCGATGCTTGATTTGAGCATGGTGCACTGGGGAATCACTGGGGCTGCCACGAGAGGACACATAATGTCGCACATGCTATAGCACTAAAAAGCCGCACGTTCGAAAGAAAACAACGCCATGCCTGCACGGAAGGCGCAGCACAGTCAGAGCGAAAGCTAGAAGAGCGGCCTTTCAGAACCTTTTCTAAACACTCATTGGGTAACTACTTACTGCAAGCACACATGCTTGATACCCACTAGGGCATTATTAATAAAATTTTTAGGGGTGAAGCTCCTTAAGGCGTGGGCTGTGCGTCCCCTGTATGTAGCCACCTCTCGTTTAGTTCTTGCAGTGTCCACTAGATGGCGGTACCGTCTCTCGTACGTCGCCTCCTCTCGTTTAGTTCTTGCAATATTCACTAGATGGCGGCACCGTCTCCTGCATGTAGCCACCTCTCGTTTAGTTCTTTCAGTGCTCACTACATGGCGGGACCTGTAGCTGATGATGAAAAGATGCAAGATGTTATAAACTACATGGTGGTACTTGTAGTTGATGATGAAAGATGCGAGATGTTATAAAATAGGAATGATGTCACATATGGCACGTGTCATTGGTGGAAGGCAATCGTTCGATTTAGTGCAGCGACGTACGCTAGGGGGAGCATTGTAATAAAATCGAGTAGGCAAAATGTACGGAAGATTCATGGTCTACCAGGTTTTCCTCCAGAGCTTCGCCCACTCATCATCATTCACTTCGTGGATATGGTGGCACTTTTTGATAGTAGGCCGGCATTCGCTATGCTATTTTTCATCATTCTTCTGAGAAGCGTCGTATTTGATAAACACTTGCAAGAAATTTTGTGCCAATTGCTCATACAGTGGCTGACGATGAGGAATTATGGCTGAAGTGGGTATGTGCCACAGTTAATAGGGGAACAAGAACAAGCTTTTGTAATGGGTTGGAGCATTGGACGACCCACTCGTTACACTATTCGCATTGTGCGCCAACTGGTTGTTCTTTCGCTGTTTTAAAACGCTTTATAGGTCGTAGTAACGCAATTGCCTTCCCAACATCAAGCCTGCCTAAGGCAAGTTTGCCAACAAGTTTCAAGCACCTGTGGCTCAGTAGTAGAATACTGGGCTGGCACCAAGCGGACCCTGGTTCGAGCCCCACTGTGTCATTGGTGCTAGTTTTTTTTTTTTTTTTTAATTTCGCACATTGTAGGTACAGACATTGGCGGCGGCAAACAACTGCATGTGACCCGAGTTGTGATCTCATAACAGCTTTCACCGTAAAAAGGGAAAGTGCTCAAGGTCATGACAGGTGCATGATGTACCTTCTTTCCTTATGCTTCTCTCCCTGCTTAGCTTCTGGCACTTTCGTCAGAACGAGAGAAGAGAGAAAGCAATTGCAACATCCAACAAATCTCCGCTCACATAGGATAAACTCTAAAAATTTTTGCAGTGATGAATTGGTGAGGCAATAAGCTCCTTTACTGAATCAATTTTATGGCTGCCTGGAAAAGTGTTGCAGGTCCCCTTTAAAGCAATAAAATGAATTAGTATGAGACGGAGTACTAAAGGCTTGAAAGAAGCTACAAAAGAAAAAGAAGAATTCATATTGCACAAATTATCACTTGCAGATATGCCTTGCAGATGTCTGTTTCACCACACTACATGTAAGAATGGTGCCGCAAAGTTTCAAATCCCATATTATTATCTTTGCCTTGAAGATAACTAATAAATATGCCTAAAAAATGCATTCAAGAAGGCTACATACCATTAAAATTGCCCTCAAATACAATTTTTGTACTGAGCCTTACAATGAAGCAGCACTACAATGGAAGCTACAGCTAGTGTTGAGCTAGGGGAGAATGACTACGTAAATTGATATGCCACTGCACCCACTGTACGCATTCTAAAGCATTCATTCTTCATTTGACCAGTAACAAGCATGGTCTCAATCAGTAAAACATACCCCATTGTTTTTCTTTCGTAGGTGCCTAATTATTGGGACTGAATACCATAAGTAGCCACTGAAGCATCCAAATCTCATCCCAAGATAGATCCATGGTACAAGTGATAAATACTATACAATAAGACACACTCATGATTTCATCACCTTTTCAACAATGAATGCACTAATTCCATGTTGAGGCTTATCTGCAAGTGGATTAGTGCGAGCGTAGACAAACAGCACATCCGCAAGTGCACCATTGGTTATCCAAAACTTCGTGCCGTTCAGGATATAGTGATCACCTGAAAGATAAGCCCCGATATCAGGCGCTGCAACATTTTTAGCACACAGAATCATAGGTACTATTAACAATAGGATCACTAAGGGCCGAATTAGTATCATATTTCAATAAATGCTCTGGGGTGTGTGCACAATACAAAACAACTGTTTAATTTACACTGCTCGACACTGCTATACATGAACACCCCATCATAAAAAAGTAGATTAATACTGATTAAAAGGTAATAAAGAGTAAAATAATCATTGTAAAACTGGCCAGTTTCAACTTTCATTATATACCTACCTTTACCTGCATTCAATTTATGTGCACTTGTTTAATATTGTCACACTCAACAATCTTTAATGAGAATTGTCTCTTAGTTCTTTTTAGTGCTGTGTCTAACAAAAAAAAATGAGCCCTCAAGTATATACTCCTTTCATTCAACAATCTCTAGGCAATCAATAATATTTGAATTTTATAATTCTATGAGTTTAAAAACCTTAAAATACAAAAATGAACATGCCAACATCGCACTTTTTGGACAGTCAGAAAACATAATTAGTTTGTAGTGAAGGTTCCTGTACGCATGTAGGCCTAATATTATTATGTACACTGCAGGCTGTAGGGAACTTATATATTTGCGTCAAAACAGCCACAAATTACGCACTCTCTCTTTCAGAAATTTTTAACCAATTGTTATGTAAGAGCACGTAAAATTATTCCAAGGTTTAAAATGCATAATCCCACAAGATTACTCAATTTAATATCCCAAGGTAAGCGCAAGCTAAGGCAAGCTCAAATGCCAACAGTCCAACTGAGGCTGACTAATAAGTGGTATAGAGCCACACTCAATACATTGTTTCTGTGACACATTAAGGGGAGGAGTTCTGTGGCACTGTGGGAAGGCCAGCTGTGTTACCTTAAGGTCCGATCGTTCAAATGAGCTATAATGATTGCTAACCTTTTTGATGAGATTTGAGCATGTGGTGCTTCAATACACAACATGGCATGCACATATAAAAGTGAAAAAAGAGCAAAAATGTGACATCACCATGAGAGAATGTATAAGGAGGTAACAGAACAGGGTTACATAAATGCAAAAATACACATTTGGGACATGAAAGGGTTTACCGCAGTGACGTAGCAGTTAGGGTGCTAGGCTGCTGACCCAAAGGTCACCGAGTTTATTCCTGGCCGCGGCGGTCGCATTTCAATGAAGGCGAAATGGTAGAGGCCCATGTTCTATGCAATGTCAGTGCGCATTAAAGAACACCAGATGGTCAAAATTGCACAAGCCCTAAACTACAGTGTCCCTCATTATATCGGGGTTTTGGGATGTAAATCCCCAGATATTATTACAGCTGAACCTCTTTATAAGGAACACGTACTAGAGAGCAGTCCTTGTCCCTTACATAAGGTGTGTCTTATAAGCAGGATACCATGTTCTCATCTTCAGTTCGACCCCTACTTCAGTGCAAGCCACCGGTGTCTCTTTTATCCCAAGTGTCTCTTCCATCAATCTCTCTTATACAAGGGTTCAACTGTATTATGACAGAAAAGGCTTTCTTTTATATGCAAGCAGGCTTTTCTAGAAGGCAAACGGCTGCTGTATTAGTACAACTGCTTCACAACTGTCACGTGTGCCAGCAAAATTGTGGCTGACAAAGTTGTATTTGAAGTGAAACTATATCAATAAAACATCTGTTTGCACATAAAGGCAAGACCAGGGCTCACGAACAAATCATTGTCTTGGTGAAAATGCATATCCCGTGAAAAACACCCTGCCATGAAGTACTCAGTGAAATCTTGTAGTCATGTGCAACAAGAAACGTTCTGAAGCAAAGTACAAAGCTACCTTTTTCGCAGGAATCCGCTTTTCACTGAGGCCTGTGCTCATTCTTTTCAGAGCTGCCGGCACCTGTTGCTTGATGATACACAAGATATGCAACCCCCTGCCTATTGGGTAATAGCAAGCATTAATCCAGAGTGATGTTTGGATCAGATGAGCTTCCTCCAACAGGCCCACATGGTGCCACCATGTGGCAGGGCCGAGCTTTGTATTGTAGCCCGTTCGCATTAGGAGGTCTAACTGGCTAGAACGCGTGGTTAAATTCTGGTAGAAGTGAAAAGATCATGAGATATAGTGACAAATTCGAGCATCCTTTCCATGTTGTGAGTAGGATTTATATTTTTGAATTATGTTTACAAGTAACAGAAACCAGTATGTCAAGCAGCCTAATGAAAGAGCCTTGAAGCTGAATTATGAATGAAGTCGGTCATTTTGCTGTACATAGCAACGCACTTATCTGATACTGTCATGCATGCTATAACTAGTTTTCAAAGTTAGAGAATGTATAATTAATCTATCCCCACTCTGTTCTGTGCTACTTACCAGGTAAAAAGAGATGCATCGTGAGAAGCGACGCTGCTTTTGCGGCAGCCATCGGACCATGTCGAACCGCGGCGCATGCGATAAACCGCCACACTCGAACCGCTCTAGCGCTCACTCTTTGCAGCATGCGTTGTTCCATGTGTATACTTCATATTTGCCGCAAATAAAAACATTCTGCATCCAAATGTTTCACAGCATTTTTCACATAACCACTATGGCAGTAAGCTTTCGGTTGCCTCCAAAAAAATAGGCACTATAAAATTTTTTTATTGGTCCCTTTCAACAGCAACCACACTCAAGCATGGAAATCCCAGTAGGAGAGAGCAATCCTATTTGATCATGCACGCTTAAGGTCATGATGTGCATTGATATAACTTCTTTCTACTGTGTCATCCCTCCCTGTGTAGCTTTCAGCGTTGAAAAAGCGAAAATAAACACAAACAAGATTCATACACGATTATACTTAGGTACAAGTCGAGAAAAAAGGGGCTATTCACTGTCAAAGCACCCCACTCCAACCAATGGAATCGCCGTGGCATCATTACGTCACAGCCAACCACTTAACGCCTACAGGCAGCACTTTGACCCAAGCTTATGTGAGTGTGTGCATGCTGTAATGTGTCTAGAAGCCTTTATTTTAAGCAAAGATAAAATTTTCGTTCAATTTCTTCCATTTTCTCATTAGAACACAAACCATGAAAGCATTTATATTGGTCATCTTGAGTAGTGAATTGCAACTCCCCTACTGACAGTGAATTTATGCTCTGATAGGTTTCCCTTCATTGCTTGATTCTGGTTTTATGCACTCCCGGCTTAGCGCATTGCCATTTACTCTTTGAGAGATTGTAAACCAGACAGCCAACAGTTTTGCCGGTGCAATAAGTGGGAATCCCCCGCTAACATCATGCGCTATGAAGAACCTTAATACAGTGAAATCTCGGTGTAACGAACTTCAGGGGGCCATGGCAATTCATTCGTTATTTTGAAAGGTCGTTATAGTAAAAGCCCAAAACTTAAACATAAACACTTATTTTCCACCGACCAAAACGACTTATTTTTAAAACGGTGAGTCCTTAAACTCGTTTTTCACAAGAAAAAACTAATGCAGAATTAAACACTAAAAAATGCCCGTTTACTTTTAAAAATCAGTTTTTTTTTTTTATGCGTGCAGCACAAACTTTGCAGCGCAAAGGCCTCCAGCTCATCCACATTCCTGTGGTGTGATTCGGTGGTGCGATCCACTTTCTCGCATACGAAAACTGCTTCTGCTGTTTCGTCACAAGCAAAAATGAACTTCACTATCACCGCAGCACGAACGCCGACTTGCTTTGTAGACCCAATAAGTAATCACCCAAAGGAGATGAACACCACTGACAAGGCCTCCTGGAGCACACGTAGAAGTTACAAAGATAAGAAAAACCCGAAGTGTATGGCTGTCATCGCCTCTTCCAAAGAAAAGAAAGAGTTAAAAAAGAAAATTCCTCGCATTTTGTTTTCTGCTCCCTCGATGTCTCAGGTTTTCCGCGCCCATGCTTCCTGCTCCGCAACTCCCACTCTGCCTTCCCGACCTTGCCCTCCCGTGTTGCCCTCGCTCTTTGTTTCGACGCTTCTAAACCTGCAGCGTCAGCGTTTCAACAAAAAAAAATAAAAGAAAGTCGCCCTTCCGTTTTTTTCCACCTCCGCACAGTCGCGCGTGTTCCGATAAGCAAGGCGTCCGTTCGCTGTATCGTCTGCTTGCGTACCGCTCTGGTGATCGCTACCGATTTCAGCACTTGAGTTCGCTGTACTGAGGCATTGTTAATAGTATAACGTGAAACTAAATTAGCACTCGTTATTCTGAGAATTTCGGTATTCAGAAGGATGTAGTAGTGAAATATTTTACATTGAAACTATTAGCAGTAGCCGCAGGATTTTTTTTAAAAGTTTGCTAATCTGAAAAGTTCGTTAATGTTGGGTGTGTTCTATCGAGATTTCACTATATTACCAATTATTATTGGTGTAATCAATAATAATTAAACCAGCCCAGGTGGTCAAAATTTCCGGAGCCCTCCACTACGGCGTCTCTCATAATCAAATAGTGGTTTTGAGACGTTAAACACCACAAATCAATCAATCAATAATTAAACCAGCAGTTTTCGCCAATGGTCTAAATCACTGGCCTGACAGCAGGCGCCTAAAGCAACATATACTACAGATGCAGGACGGACAATAGGCACAATGCGCAATGCTTCACGCTCAAGACAAAACTTGCGCAGAAGTTGATGACAACCACTTTGTATCACACAGGGTATTGAAGTGCCAATCAACAGCGCAAGTATCGACGGCTGCGTCTAGGAAGTGCCGAATGCTAACGCAGCACACGAAACATCACGGAGATTGTCATTAACAAACACTGCGCAGAACAAACAAACAAGGCTTTTCTTGGATTTTCAATTGAGATGAACAGCACTAAAGTCAGCTTGTGAGAGCACAATCTTACTGACGACAACAATGGAGTGTCGCGAAAAGCGAAGGTGGCCATTTTGGTTGAAGTCCTTAAGTGCACAAGAACACACTTTTCGATTCCCCTCGTGAGCACAGTGCAAATATGGTCCCTCACGACGACACAATGACATGGCGATGTCAGTGGCTGAAATGGAGGAGGTCTTTTGATGGTGAAAAGCTGATATTTTCTAGACTTCTACCAAAGTGAAGCCCTGGACAAGATGCAAATAGGTCCAGTGTGCTCATCAGGATGAGAGAAGAAAGCACTTGAAGCGTGCAACGAATCCCCCAAACTTCACTTATTCTTGACAGATTCGAGAAATTTTCGCATCAATCAATTTGATTATTGATATGTGGGGCTTAACGTCCCAAAACCACCATATGATTATGAGAGACGCCGTACTGGAGGGCTCTGGAAATTTCGACCACCTAGGGTTCTTTAACGTGCAGCCAAATCTGAGCACACGGGCCTACAGCACTTTCGCCCCATCGAGAAAGTGCAACCGCCGCAGCTGCGATTCGATTTCGCAACCTGTGGGTCAGCAGCGGAGTCCCTCAGCCACTGGACCACCACCGCAGCGGGGCACATCAATCAATTTGAAAGGCTATAAATTCTGATATACCCAGGTTTTATAGTTGCCTTAAGAAGCGGTTAAAAGTGGTCCTTAAAGAGTGTGACTAGAGCGGCAACTAAACAACAGCAACAGAGTAGTCAAATTGAGCTACTTTGAGCTAATTTAGCTACTATTTTAGGCCTCTGCCGACGAAAAAAACAATCTGACTACTTGGCTACTTTTTGCCTACTTTCTTGTTTCCTCGATTTCCACCAGTTATCATAATATTGCGATGTCACAGCCATTCCTTTTCAAGTAAGCAGTGTGAAAGCGTAGAGGCCAATGCATGTTTCAAGCTCCAAAAATTGAATCTGGTACTAGCATTACACAGAGGAAAAGGCTTTTAGATACCTGGCTGGGCCTCATTTTGCAGATCACCTACTACTGAATGTGACTTCATTTGTAATTGTTTAAAACAATCAAAAGCGCTCCACATCCAGGACACTCTACTCTCATGAACATTAGTAATGTGATATCCAATAAACTGCTTGTGCTATTTCTGAGGACGGGGCACAGCATATATAAGTGAAGAATATAAACTGTTACGACTTAGTCATCCCACGAGAAACAGTTGTGAAAGTGATTACAATTGATGCTTCAACCACAGCAACTTTGATTTTGAGTCTACACATGCAATATACTGATTTTTATTGTTGCCGTAAATCCAATGCTTTTAGTGCTCTTAAGGGGAGATGAGAATATTAAAAAAAATTTGCATTAATTTGTAGCCTAGGGTGATGAAATTTTTTAGGTCTATTTAGGCTTTTTTATGCCAATTTCAAATATGTAAGTAGCTTTATAGTAAGTTGCACAATGTTCGTTTCGTGCCATGACAATATGTGAGGTATAATTTGTTTTGGACAAATATTTTATGCCACTAAAGTTTGACGGTTCTGAGTCATTAATAGCTCATGTTGCTCCAAAATAAGTGTGGAATGCAAGTAAGAATAAATAAAGTACATATAAGACATTTTAATGGGCGAAAAATTGTAATGTGAAAATTTTTAGAATGCTCAGCCCATACTAACTGCTTACTTTAGGTTCATATGTAAACAAAATGAAAATCTGAAGAAGATACTTGCACTCTTCACATGCTAAGAAATATGTGGGGAAAATTTCATCCCACTCGAGCTATCAGAAGTACTAAAACATTATTTGCAAACTCAAGAAGTTGCCCAGATATGGATCTTGAAAAAATGTATTTAAAAGATGTAAGAAAAAGCTCATTTATGCGGAAAAGATGTTTTTTTCAAATGATTTCTTCCTTTATAAGAACTTAGGAATCATGGTAATTTTGAGCACATGGCTTTAGTCAACTACCATGAAAAATGAAATGACAAGCAGCCGGGTTGAATTTCCAGGGTACTCTAGACAATGAGCTCTTCTTCATTTTTAGTTGCCCCCTTGTGCTCTTCAAAAGCGATTTTAACCTACTTCGAGATAAATTACCGTTTTCACTGCCTTTTTAGTTAAAGCAGAAAAACTAAACTTGTGAAAGCAAATAAAAACGAAAAATATCTAAATATGGAAAAACTCGAGTTTTCAGACTCTCATCTCCCCTTAAGAAAACAGGAGACATATAAAGAGAATGCTACTTCTGCAACAGCACAAGAAACTTCCTCGCGTTGCATGAAATAGTTGGCAAAATCTACAATTTACAGATTATTCTAAGCAATTAGGACATTGAAGGGTGCTTGTACTTATTTAATTTCCACTAACAAGCTCTTGCATTTACTCATTTAAATAGAAATGTTGCAGTTATTTTGACATATACATGGCCACATTTGACTACTTTTATTGCCATTGGCTCAAGCTGACCATGTTTCCGTTAGTTTCTCAAACTTGCAGGCTATTTTTTTCTTTTTCCAACCTGGCAATCTTGAATGCCAAAATTGTTGTCCATGACGATTGTTAAAGCACGAGCTCAGAACGACGACAAAGGGACAAGAAGATATCTAAAGCCAACTAGCCCAAACCACCATGCTTGTAAGTTGATACGTAAAAAATTTATTTTGGAGCTAATTTTAATACAGTAAATCACTTAGGACACCGAATAGGCAAAACTAATTTTGCAGTAAGTCAGGTTAACATAACACTGAATTGTACATATTTAGTTGCCTGACTTTGGAAAGTAAAAGTGAACCCAGCAAGTCAAACTGCGTCCTCACAATTAGACAGCGGATGACACCTCTACAATGTGACTGGCAATGCCAGAGGTAAGGCAGACAATACATGCTTACCATCCCTCACGGCAGTGAGACTCATAGATGCCACGTCGGAACCAGAACCAGCTTCACTCATGGCCAGTGAACCCACATGTTCTCCACTGATCAGCTGCAATGCAAGCACTCTCTGTTATTAATAGTTCTTACCCATAGGAAACTTATACACAAGTACGTAATCAAATAGTTCGATGTAGACCAGAAAGCTACGCAGAAAAATGCACTTTTCCCACACCACTACACATTTCCTCAAAAAACAATATGACACCATCTACCCACTGAAAAATCAGGCACCGATGATTGATATGTGGGGTTTAACGTCCTAAAACCACCATATGATTATGAGAGACGCCATAGTGGAGGGCTCCGGAAATTTCGACCACCTGGGGTTCTTTAACGTGCACCCAAATCTGAGCACACGGGCCTACGACATTACCGCCTCCATTGGAAATGCAGCCGCCGCAGCTGGGATTCGATCCCACGACCTGTGGGTCAGCAGCCGAGTACCTTAGCCACTAGACCACCGCGGCGGGGCGGCAAAACCAGGCAGGCGCACAACATCAAAAGTTGCAAGTTCACCAAAAGGGTCACGAACGACTTTTCTAAGTGATCATCAAATGAAATGGGTGTCGGAGTTTATTGCTCCCAAATTTATTACGCCAAATTTTCTCAAACTCGTAAAGAACGAGTGAAGTTGCAGGAATTTGTTGCACACTCCAAGTGCTTGCTCTGTGCAAGCATGCTGAATGCTGAACAGAGAGGGATAGCCCAGAAAGAAGTTTTGACAGCGTGCACCAAGACCTTGAGTGCGCCTGACAAAATGTGATCGTTCTCTCCCATTGCGATTGCTGTGTGCAAGTGTGGCTCACTGTGCAATGTTATTAGACGATATACCTAGCACAGCTCCGGCACATGGTGGAACCACGTGACAACAAACGCATCTGACCCAAACATGCTCAGTCTGAATATACTTAAGAATGGAGAAATCACTGCTTCCAGTGCACTGAACTTGATCAGGTTTGTTACAGTTAAATTAAAAGTTGGAAACTAGTGACAGAAGGATGTCTATTTTTTATTTAGGCTGACAATTATTTTTAAGGGTTGAAATTTGCCTAATTCAACAGAACTTAACATTCAAGTTTACAATACAGCAACTCAGCAATAAAAAAATCCGAAGGGGGTCATAATTTATGTATCATATCAATCAGCTCAATCATCTCTGCAGTGTTGTCAGAGTATAATTGTGCCCTCTGCTACCAGTGTTACTGATAAGTAGAGACTCGAACTTTAGGCATGAAAAATTAATGTTTTAGGCATATATAACATGCCCTAAAAGCTGCCAATTAG